GTAAATTTAAAATGAATATTTAAGATAAATTAACAATGGCTTAAGCAGATCTCCGTCATTTTCAGTAATGTTAGGAAAAAGCAGAAGGAAGGTTATTTTTCCTAGTTCTAACAGATCTGCAATGCTGCTGTTCGCAGTATGTTTCCTCTTTGGGAAAGATTCAGGGTTCGTTTCAACGCTGGCAGAGATTTCATCAGTCTGCATTTTCATACTGCTTCATCTGACTATTCTTAAATTTAACTGTTTTTAAATTTCCACTTAAATTTCTATATTTCATCTGATCCTTTAAAAAAGTAGAGACTGGAATTATGGTCAAGTTCAAATGATTTGTGATGCAGTGTCAGCAGCATACGCAGCTCACTCCAGAATCGGTAGCGCAAATATTTCCATTTTTTCTTCAAACCTTGCTCTGAAAATAGAAATTGATCAATTTTTTCTCATAACAAAAATTTAACAAAGGACAATCTCTTTATTTAGATATTTGGCTACTGGTGCACTGACAATTAAAAAGCACTTGGAAGAAGTTGCAGTGCAATACTGGAATTTATGGAACTTCCCGAATTGCATTGGAAAGCACATTTTTTTTTCTACTGTGATGCAAGGTATTGTCGATGACAACTTAAAAATTTATTGCGATCGAAGTTGGAGGGTGTGAAAAGCAAAGCCATTTGTTTTTCTTGGTGATGAAACCTACCTCCTTTTGGAATGTATATTACGGGCTATAGCACAATATTATCATTGATCGAGAACGCTTGGATGAAAACTTGAGAGAAGAAGTTGAGGAGCAAAACACAAAAGAACCGCAAAATGAATTCAATAAAACTAGCATCAAGAATAGTGGATTAATTAGAGATCAAATTTGTAACTATCTATGCCTCAATAAAATCAAATAATATGTAATATCACTAACATTGTTTTTTTACTTTGTTTTATTTCTGTCCACAGTTTTTCCACAAAAACACGATTATGATTTGTTTTTTTGGTCCCACAAATCAGGCCCGGAAAAAATTTTACTTATTATTTGATCGATATCCATTTTTTATTTTGAAACCATTAAAAAACACGACTGCAAGCTAAAAAGTAAACATCAACAGTGCAGAAAAGCGAACAAAACGCTGATACTGTTTTCTCGCTTTCATCGACTTTGGTCTCTGCTCTTGTCGGCGTTCACTGTGTTATACACAAGCTTATTTGTATGGACTTGTATGTTATCAGTTTTATCGCACTGAGAATCTCGGCTCGGCTTTCAATCTTAATGCAATTTTCAGAGGCTGTTTGTTATGGATATGGGAAGGCCTGGAAAAAAATTATACTTTTTCTGAGAAAAAGTTGGATAATGAGAAAATTCGCAAAAGTGACTTATTCATAAAAATAAACTTTTTTTTCAAATCTATCTTATTTAAAAAAAATATTTCTTTCTAATTTGTTTATTCGAAAGGTTTTCTTTCATTTCCATTTAAATTTATTTGTGTTACTGCTTGAATTGATTTGTAAATTATTTGAATCGCTCAATATCGGACGTTTGATTTCTTTATTTCGGCTATTCGAAAGATATATTATTGAAAATTATTCAGTGAAAACTTTAGGTGTGTTTCATATAAAGTGATCAATTACAGCTACTTCGGATGCCACTGAAGTTCGCACACTTTTCGCGATGATCATTTCGACATGCAGCTTTCAAATCCGGGTCAATTATGGGAAACGTATAGAAATGATATTTCCGAAAACATTTTACATCATTATCGAGTGGGCACAGGGAATTCAGAAATGTAAAAGAACGATGACATCTATAATGAAGCATTGGTGGTGTTTAAAGATACGAGTATGTGTTTGCTTATGAGTGGCAAGCCATTGACTGAAATACATATGCCAGCGTCAAATCCAACGTGAATTGGATTGTAAGCGTGCATGCGACAGAATAACTTTGGAACAAGGCAGCTATTGAATACTGTAATGGTTGCAAAAAAATTTTAAAGGGACTTACAATGAGGCAAAATGCTTGATTCCACGAATTCCTTTGAGTTTCAACAATTTGCCGTTTCATTTCAAACGCATTCCGTTCCCAAAGAAACTTGCCTTTGCGGCGACAATTTATAGGACAAATCAACAGTCGGTGGAAGTGTGTGGCATAAATCCGGAAATGCCATGATTTTCACACGGCCAGCTATATGTGGCGTGTTCACGAACTAGAAAACCATTTCTGCACCTTAACAGAAAACAAAATATGTGGTGGACAAGAGCCGCCGTAATCCAATGACATCTCACTCATTGTGGTTAATACTGATTTTTCTTGCTTGGTGAGAAAGTATTAAACTTCCTCCATATTTCACTCTTCACTGCCAATTATATGCTTGGTTCACGATAACTAAAATACTTTTGGGTATACTGTTACAGTTGCGAGGCTATACTCAATTCCTACTCTTGCGTCCACGAAACGTGAGTAACTATTGTGAAAGATTCGATAACCAAATCGTGTGGAGCCTTTGATCATGGCTAATGAGGGAGAAAGCCACACCGACTTATTTGGCTTAAAGGTCTGATAAATTGCAGCGTCTGTTCACCAGAGGTGCGGGTGCGGGCGAGCGTCGGCCATAAAGCAAGCGGCTCGGTATATAAATGTGCAAACACTTTAAACTTACTCGCATGGCTTGGTTGTGCGCTGGGTTTGGGACCCTCCTCGTAGAAACCAGGTCTAATGAAAAATAAAACAATGCCTAGGATGAGATACTCCATTCCTGTTAACGGCCCTCGCAAACAAATTAAGGCTGACATCACCGCGGTCCAAGAAGTGCGATGGACCAGACAAGGACAGAAGTGAGTAGGTTCTTGTAACATTTACTAGAGCGGTCGGAGCGCGAATTCGTTGTTGGATTTGTGGTGCGTTAGAGACTTAGTCGTCGAGTACTGGCATTCACGGTGGATGAGCGTCCACCATTATCTGCATCAACACGCAATTTTTCGACATATCGTTGATTTGCACCAAAGATTCCTTCTATGACTGTCTTGAGAATACTTACAAGCGCTGCCCCCGACACGACGTGAAAAGCGTGCTTGGTGGTTTTAATGCTAGGGTGGGCAAAGAAGTTACCTTTGCTTTCTTTTGCCTACATAACGAAACATCCCTTTTTGAATTGGAGCTGATCGACTTCGCCAGGTCCCGAGACATAGTTGTGTGTGTATGACGGGCTTGAGAATATGCCCAACACAGACAATGATCGAAAATTTTTTGAGAAGATACTATGAATTACGGAAGGTTTCAAAATAAGAGCATACTCTAGTAGAACACAAAGAAGTGATCTAGCCACCGAAGCCCAGAGCATATTGAATTTATGAAGGGAACACTTCTCCAGTCTGCTGAATAGCAATGAAAATGTAATATCCGGATATAATTAAACCGAAGCCTAAACCGATGATGTTAAAAAAGTGATTTGAATAGCAAGATGATCGACACTCACAACCCCTTCGTCGATTTTAAAGCCGTCAAATAGGAGCTGTCTTTACGACGCTATGTCCGAATTTGGTATCTCCTCAAAGGTTATACGGCTGAGTAAACTGACGTTAAACAACACTACGAACTCCGTCAGGACCAGAGCTCTACGAGCCGTTCACTACCAAACAAGGTTTCCGACAGGGTAACCTTTATCGTGCGTACGTTCTGCAGAGCTGAATAGAGAAGGTACAATCTTCTATAAGAGTGTACAGCTGCTGGCGTACGCCAATGGTGTTGACATTATTGGCCTCAACAACCGCACCGTGAGTTCTGCTTTCTCCAGACAGAAGAAGGAAGCGGAGGATGTCAGCCTGGCACTGAACGAGGGCAAGACGAAATATCTCCTGTCATCACACACAGAGTGATGACTTTCGCGACAGTCATAACTTTGATGTCGTAGATAATTTCGTCTATCTAGAAACCAGCATTAACACCAATAATAACGTCAGCTTTGAAATCAGCGCAGAATGACTCTTGCCAACAAGTTCTACTTTGGACTGAGTAAGCATTTAAAAAGTAAATTTTTCTCCAGACAAACGAAAACCAAACTACAAGTCTCTCATGGTTGGCGTCCTGCTATATTGTTCGGAAGAATGGACGATGATAACATCTGATAAGTCGGCGTAAGGAGTTAACGAGAGAAAGGTTTTGCTTAGAATTATGGTACTTTGACAAGTTATACGGCGACATTGATATAGTTCAGCTGATCAAGAAGCAGTGGCTACTCTGGCTAGGTCATATGGTCCGGATGTATAAGAATACTTCAGCTTTGAAAATTTTTGACCTCCACTCCTTGGGAAATACCAGGTACACAAATAAGAAATTTTTGCGCCTTAATGTTATGCAAAGCTGATTTTATTTCATGTCTTAAAAACTCTTGGAGGGATTGACAAGGAGCGACCGCAATTAGAAAATTTAACTTATTTTCTTATGGAATTTAATTTTCTATAACAACATCCGAAGTTGGTCGCACCAAGATTTGAGCTCTGGCCTTCCGAATGGCGGTACAAAATGCTAACCTCTCGGCTGCTGTGCCTGCCAATATTCCAAATACCAATTTTTTTATTTTATTTATTTTTGTTACAATGTTTATTTAGTGCATTAAAAGTTTGAATAATTTATTTAAAAATTTAAAAAATAGGAAACTTAGAATGTTTTGTATAATAACTTAGTTGAAGCTTGAAATTCCTGTATGTCTTACTGAAGATTTTAGTGGGGAGGGATTATCAGTTAAAAATGTACGTAATTTGAAGCCAGCCCCAAATGTAAGGTATATTGGTTCATAAGTTTTTGTATCGGCGCAGCAAAACGACGTATATATGTATGAAAAAAACATATTAATTCTCAAATACATTCATGTAGCGATTTCATTTTTTCCGAAGAACTAAGATCAGTGAGGAGTTTATAAAATAGTACCAAATAGTTTTTTAATTTATTGATGTTAAGTAAAAATTTAACTTTTTTGTATATCTTCTATTAATAGTTATTATGCCTTCCATTCAACTAATAGGTCACAGCGGCGTAAACCAGCTAGGAGGCGTGTTTGTGGGCGGCCGGCCACTACCAGATTCCACGCGGCAAAAAATCGTCGAATTGGCACATTCAGGTGCGAGACCTTGTGACATATCGCGCATACTGCAAGTTTCGAATGGTTGCGTCAGTAAGATTTTAGGCCGGTAAGAATGAAGTAGTCATACATCCTGTCCTGAGTCAATGCATGAACATATAGTTGCCGACATAAATTAAATATCTATATTTTTTTTTAAATTTTGCAATATTATAACTTAAATTTTTTCTAGATACTATGAAACTGGCAGCATACGCCCGAGAGCTATCGGCGGGTCTAAGCCACGTGTTGCAACGACGGAGGTTGTGAGTAAAATTTCTCTCTACAAACGCGAATGCCCGAGCATTTTTGCATGGGAAATACGTGACCGGTTGTTGCAGGAAGGCATCTGCACCAATGATAATATACCAAGTGTGAGTTAAATGAAAGCCGAAAATGAATATAAATGTAACATTTAAATATATATATATTATAATAATATGTTGGTAACAGCCAAATGTCGTCACTTTCGCCCCACGCCAATTTGCGTAAAACACTTATATTTTACTTTAACCGCAAAAAAGCCAGAACTCCGTTCAATTGTAGCTGACACTTGCAAATTACATGCATACATATTTATATACATGTTTGATGTTTAATTTTTTTTTTTATTCTCCGATTCTTCTTTAATTCATTTGTACCACCCCTTATTGCCCATAATTTCCTTTTTCTCCCAATAGTCGACCACTCCACCCACCCTTGCTGGCATAATCATTTACAAATTTGCACAATCCAATTTGCTAAGCATTCCTTGTTTTGTCTTCTTTTATCGTTTAAACTATTCTTACTGTTTCTCTCGCTCGCCTCAACTGCTTGGCAAATCATTAAGCGCGAAAACGGGCCAACATCTCTTCACTAGTTATGTGGTGTTTGGGCCAATAGGGAGTGAGGAGATAATTTCAACTGTAAAAAAGCGTGACGGAATGGCAGTTTTTATTTGATAATAGGGGTGAATAATTTAACAATTAATGTACATATTTATCAATGTAAATATGTATGTGTATGGAGGAAAAACAAAGAAATAATAGGGTACTCACTTAACTGTTGGGTTATAATAATATAAAACAACTCGTATGATCGGCAAGGGACAATTGACACTATTTTAATTACATATGTATAATGAGTAATATTTACTTATAAATATGTTCAAGAATGAAGCCAAGTCATTCTTAGTTCAACCAGAGGCATATTGTACAACGAGTAGCAACAGATGATTTTGTTGAAGCAGTATGCAATTTATTCAAGTCAGTTGAAAGTTATGAGTACTAGCTTCAAAATTTTGTTAGTGCAGTCATGTATTTTCCTCCTGAAATTGGGCATATTAATAACCATTAAAAGCCGCAGAAATAATTACATACGTAAAGCTAATTATTGCATTAAATAATATTCGTAATCGTTGAATAAAATGGGTCTGATTATGCAGCTCCGTCGAGATTTTATAAACATACACCCTTTTTTCGATGAGTGCGATTATAACACCCTTTCGCTCCAACGGTCGGTAATATATTCTAAGGATAAACCGAAGCCATTTAACCGGTGACCGATGGCTTAACCACCTAGAAGCTAGTTAGACATTAAATAATGACTAAGAAAAAAAATATTTGTCTTATTTGAGCATGCTTATGTTTCATAATATTGCAAAATTAGTTGGAGATATCAATACTCAAGCATATAAAAATTTAGCTCGCTGATGATACCCCTAATCACTTTAGCCAAACAAACTTACATATACTTATCTAGTTGATACTTTGTAGCCGTTGCAGCGAGATGCGAAGAAGCTACCTAAGTCCAGGTTTATAATCTTGATGTTTTCTCGGCTGATAGAAAAATATTTTTATTAATTTTCTACAATTAAGGGTGTTGGTCAGGATTTTATAGCATGACCCCTCGCAACGTTACGATTGACCAAAATAAGTGCGAAATCGGACAGATACCGAGAGCTGAAGATGGAATCAGGACGCATCTGCACACAAAAAAGAAAAAGGCGTAGATGAGTGAGTAGGCGGAGCTTAAGAAGCTGGCCGACAAGGGTATGACCAGAAAATTCTTTGAGAAGATACAACGAAGAAGTTTAAATAGCAATCACCTGCTTTAAAAAAACAACAAAGCGGCTGGAGCCGCAGGTCTACCGCCAGAACTATTCAAACATGGCGGTGAAAAGCTGACAAGGTGCATGCGTCAGCCACTTTGCAGAAAATGGTCGGACGAAAGCATGCACGACGAAGTAATTTGAGTATGCTTCGCCAAATCAATAAAAAAATGGGCCTCCTGAATATCGCCTATAAGGTTTTTCGAACGTATTGTGTGAAAGACTAAAGCCTACCGTCTTCAAACTGATTGGACCTTATTAGTGTGGCATTAGACCTGATAAAACGACCATTGACTAGATATTTATTCACCATTTGCCAAGTGAGGATCGACAGCCACCTTAAACAACACTAAAAGCTTCGTCACGATCGGGAAGGACCTCTTCTAGCCTTTCGATCCCAAACAAACGTGTGTTGTGTCTTGTTTAACTTATTACTGGAGAAAAGAATACGAGTTGTAGAGCTGAGTAGAAGAGGCACATTCTTCTATAAGTGCACAACTATTAACGTATGCCGATGATATTGATATAATTGGTCTCGCGCTGTTAGTTCTGCTTTCTCCAGACTGGAGAAGGAAGCGAAGGATATGGGTATGGTAGTGAACAAGTGCAAGCAAATAATTATATAAAAAGTGAGAAAGAAAAATATAATGTACCCTTTTGTAACGAGATTGAGTGCTACCAATTAAAAACCCAAATTATTTAAAATATGGTCACATGGATCACAAACGAAAGTATTACCGCTCGACCATTAGGTGTCTTTGTCCTATAACTCGAAGGGTTACATTCATGGTTTTTTTCTCACAGCATAATAAACAAGCTAGTAAATAATGAAGGAAATCGGTTTTAAAAATACTACGTGTGAAGGTATCTCTGTGCCAAAACCCATTTATTAAGAAACTGCTTTAATAATAAAAAATAGTTGCTCGCTCAAGATATTTGTTTGCTAAGCATTTATACATATATATGTATGTAAATGCATATATTCTGCATACTTATACAAACCTGTATACAAATAAGTGTGCATGCCTGGGTAATATGTATGTGTGTATGCATATATGTACACATACTTTTGATATTTCCGTCTACGTACATATGCATACTTAAGTGCACTGGATTTCAACGCTCGCCACCCCTCGAAATTCCACATGACAATTTTTCGATTTCTCCCACTTTGTGATAGAGATTTTTTCCACATGGATAGGCACCCTTTTAGAGGTGGTTCCGGTAGTACCTAATATATGTATATGCGCCAACGAAACGTCCTGTCATCCTGACATCCTGGAAACTTGTCACATGACCGCACATTTCTAACATACAACAGAGCACTCACAATCAACAGCACTTTTACAACGTCAAACGATTTCTCCGTTCATTTAGTAAACAATTACGTGAATGACGGAACCACAAAAAAAGTTCAATACAACAACTGAATATGATTACAATGCAAAAGCAACAAAAAAAAAGAATTTGTAAAATACTAAATAGCAAAGAAAATAAAGAGAAAATAAGGAAAACACACGAAAAATACTAACAGAAAAGTCCAGCTAAAAATGGTGACAACAACATGAGCAATAAAGTATAAATCTCAAAACAAAGTTAGAAAAGAATACGAAAAAATTCCAGGACCATTTATATGAAATTCATGAATTCAGTAGCCGAGTGCTTACCTACCATGCGGAGGGTCAATGGTGCCCAGACCAACTTTTAAAAATAAAGAAATTTAATTAAAAGAAAAGCATAATTTTTCTAAACGCGGGACTATCAACATGTGCATTCCTGACATGAGATAAAAATCAATTAGCCGTTCGAAAGCAGCTTCAATTGATTTGGAGAAAATCGTTTTAGCAGTAATAAACGATATGGTTATAAAAGAAAGAATATTTATTTAGCATCAAAGAAAGATTGCTTATAAAAAAGGTGAACTGTGTATATTTTTATATGTATTAAGTACTGTACATTAAGCTCTCATCGCACAGTGGTTGTGCCCGCAAACCATAAATCAAGCAAATTATCAAAACCGAGTTTGGGTAAAAAGAAGCCGAATTATGTGTGCAGCTTCTTTGTTTTATTTTTTATTGATACGCACATCTGGCATCTTGTCCCGAATGGAACTCTTTAATCTTTGGTAAACGGAAGCTGTTAGAAGTTATGTGCATAACTTCTATTCAAAATCGCAAAACTTGACAAAACTTTTGCTTCTGTTTTGCGCTCATCTGATGTCCAACCATAGATTATTTTATCTAAAACTTAAACCTTTTCAGATGGTATTATAATAAACAAATCCCTGGTCGAAGTTGAAAACCAAATTTTATTTTTTCTATTATACTTGCAAATTCAAGTGATCCTTTGATAATGCGGAAAAATCCTCGACCATCGAATCAGTACTGCAGATTTCTCAGATTTCAACTCAAGAAGGAGACTACTGAGCTACCATTAAGGAAGAAGAGTGCTTCCCAACTAAAATTGACGAGCTTTTAAACACTTTGTTTTAAACAAAACGTCATCACCTTTTTGAATGCGCCAGTCGTCGGTCCACTTTTCGGAACGAAGAATAGTTTTTACATTAATCCAAGCAAGAAGCGTCCTATTCACCGAATTAAATAAAAATAGAAAGTAAATAGAACAATAAATAAGATGTTTTGTAAGTGTCTGTTCCTGGTCTATTTCCCCGAAAAAAAGTAGGCTTCCTTTTAATCTACTCTCTGAGACTTTTTTCAATGTTGACAGCACAATCTCCATATTAAAGATCTCTTCAGTTTGATTTTGATTTTTTACAAAGATAAGTAAAGAATCGATGGTCCGATTTGGAAACTTCACTTAAACAATATACTAAAAAGTCCGAACAAAGCCTAGTTTGGATAGGTGAGCCCATTCTTAAGTTCTAAAACTTCTAAATCTATACACACGTATAGATGTTGGTATGGGTTGGAAATTTTATTTCCTCCTAAATTGGACTTTGCTCGATTGTACCATCTTCTTCGAGACTATGTTTTGTGGCCAAAAGTTATTTTTTCAAAGTAACTAAAATAACATATTTTTTACAGCTACACAATCACATGAGTTCAAGGAACAATGTTACGATTAAGAATTTTTATAGGGGACTTCACAGTTAAACTTTTACTTCGTAAAATACATGTTTTAAAACTGGTGCATTATGCTTGAATTTTTAAGAGTGCAACAAATTTGAAATGAGCAATATCAGTATAATATTAGTAAAGTAATTCAATAATTATTGTTTGTACTACGATCTTGTCTTTTAGCTATTATCTTTTTGGCAACACTGGCTTAAGCAGCTGACGTACGTTACGTGTTTTGCAACACTGTCAAATATCTTTAGTTCGATCTATAATTTAACCATAAAACATCTTACAAACGAACAATGCTTGCAACTAATAGAAATTCATTATCAAAGAGCACGCAGCTGTTAGGAAAGTTCATCGCGCGCTTTTTCGCGCGCGCTTCCAAGCAAATTTTTGGCTTAATGGGTGCATAAATAAACAGAATTGTCGATTTCGGAGTAGGATCAGCCAGAAGCATTCCAAAAGCTACAGCTGCATCCAGAAAAAGTCACAGCTTGGTGCGTTTTATGGGCTGGTGGCATCATTGGACTGTACTTCTTCAAAGATGATGCAAATCGTATCGTAATAGTGAATGGTGAGTGCTACCGTAAGATGACATCAAACATTTTTTTTTGCCCAAAATGCAAGAGCTTGACATGCATGACATGTGGTTTCAACAAGACGGTGTCACATGCCACACAACACGCGTAACATTGGGCTTATTGAGAGGCGAAATCGGTGAACATTTTATTTTGGGACCGGTCGATTGGCCACCTAGATCGTGCGATTTAATGTCTTTAGACTATTTTTTGTGGAACTATGTTAAATCTTATGTCTATACAAACGAGCCTGCCTCAATTGACGCGTTGGAAGACAACATTGAAGCATTTATTCGTGAGATACCGGCCGAAATGTTGGAAAGAGTATGCCAAAATTGGACTAAGCGGCTGGACCATTTGAAGCGCAGTCGTAGTCATCGTTTGCACGAAATAATTTTCAACCACTAAATTATATGGACCGTACTATCGATTTAAATAAAGATTTCATGCATTTTTATGAATTTTATGTTTTTTATTCGAAAAACTTTCCTATTGCTCTTATAAAGTCATCTTTATAATAGGTCTAATCGAGTTCATCTGTAAAATATGTTAACTGTAGTAGAAAATGTAATTCTTGTTTAGAAACGTTTATATCTACTTTTGAAGTGTCTGCATACGTACTTCCACTTCTGTATACATGCACATAGTTCCATACATATATAAACTCATATTGCGAAAGATCTTTCTTTACTGCTGAAGAATGCGTTGTATTGGTTCTTTACCATTGCTGTCTTTTTAAATTTTACTGGCACAGGCGTTGAGCTTTGCCGCCCGCCCCTGTTCTTGCTGTTACCGTTCCATGTATTGAATATTTTTGCCTAATTCTTCCACTTTTCTGCATTTTCCCCTTCCGGTTGAAAGCGATTGCTTTTGGATATTGCAGCTGAAACTTTCGGTGTTTTTGTTGTTGCCGATTGCTGCTGTTACTGCTATCAACAACAGACCTGGCAAAATGTGCGAGAACATCAGTAATTTTAAAAAGATAATAACAAGACTTACGCTAAAAAGACAATAACAACAACAACATCAATTACAAAAAAAAAATCTTAAAGGTATGTAAATGAAAATTGGCGAAGACCATTAAACGCGAAGAAAAAATGTGCAACTGCTGATGTCACTGCTAGTCAGTTAGTTCGTTAGATGATAGGCTAGAGGCTGGCAACTAATCAGGCAAGCGAGACTCCCACTTCTTCAGCCATTTCGGTTTCGGCCAACAGATGAGGGTCTAACAGGCTCAAATTGCACATGAGCAAATTTTAGTTTGTGTGCATACACATGTACGATATACATACATGAATATGTTTCGTTGCTTCAACGAATATCTTTTGTTCGAGTAAAATGTGGATGGAAGGCAACTCAAATTTCTTCGTACATTAGAGGCTGCCGCCGCGCTTTCAATGGCATGCATTGCTATGAGGTCAGCATCAGCGTCATCACTTATTTAAGCCAGTCAGGGCTAAATGGCTACGTAGGTTGTTTTCACTTTTGGTAATGATCTAACGTTGCCATTTATTATAATAAATTAATAATAATAATCTTCACATATGTACATATAACGACTCTTACGTTTCTGTATAATTATGATGTATAAAATGTACTTTATGAATTTTTTATTTGCTTACGGATATATATATTCCCGATGTTAATGCCTCATTTTAAATTTCTAAGGTTTCCTCCATTAATCGAGTACTGCGCAATCTTGCAGCTCAAAAGGAACAACAGCACAGCTCACTTTTAACAAATGGCAATAGTAGCAATGGCGGCAGCGTGAGCAACACTCCTGGTAATCTTAGTGCAGGAAATCTCTCTGGCAGTACCACAAGCAATGGTTCAGTTAGCGGCTCTAGCGGTGGGAGTGGTGGTGGGGATATACAGTTACACACCATCAACACACCACTGAACTCGGACGGCAGCGTAGGTAGTAGCAAAGTTGGTGGGGGCGTCGCCGGGGATGGTGATGGCACTGCTGTCAGTGGTATCGTTACAGAGGTAGTCTCAGACGCTATGTATGACAAGTTACGTCTTCTGAATAGCCATCGTCAACATGGCGGAACCGGCACGTTACATTCGTTATTAGCTCTGCCCCCACCAAGTACAGGGGCCCATCACCATCAGCAACAGCAACATCACCATCATCTGCCACATGCCCACCCGCAGTCTGATTCTCACATGTATATCTCAGCCGCATCTCTACCGTCACAACTTCACGCCGCACATCCGTTAACCCATACTGATCACCACCACCAACACCACGCTTTTACAAATCACAGTTGGCCTCCTCGACACTACTCTACCTCGTGGTATTCACCGCCACTAACGAGCGGCTCTGGCATAAGTACATGTGGTAGTGGCGCAATCGCCAGTAGTACGATCAACGGAAGCGGTGGCAGCATCTCATCGCCCACTGAAATTTTAAGCTCGGCATTTGCATCGGGCGTGCAGCCGTTGAGTCCGCATGGATCCCTTAATGATAATGGTGTTAATGGAATCGCGAGTAACTTTTCCGCAGCCCAACAAATCGGCCGCCCAAGAAGCGATGAAATAATGCCCAAAAAAGGTAAGTACACCACTTAAACTTAGACTTAAATTTCGTTTGGTTCATTATGTACGTCGCGTACTAACAACATGAAATTCATATTTCATACTGCATAGCTAAATTTTTTATAGACTAGACACAAGCACAAAAGATATTAGGTCATGCATACGTATAATAAGTTGGTACATCCGTCGTGAGAACATATGCAAAGTTGCAATTATTTTTTTGGCTTACAAGCCATTTGAAGTTAACGTGCAATATTATTTTTTAATATGGAAGAAATTGAATATCGCGTAGGGATTAGTTTCTTTGTTTTGAAAGATTCGAAAGCAAAGGAAATTTATGAACAATTAGTAGAAGTGTTCGTAAGTCCTCACCCTCTAAACGCACAAAAAAATAACTTTTAGTCATGATAATGCACCTGGTCACAATGACGAAAATTCAACGAATCAAAATACGAATTGCTTGAGCATCCACCGTATTTAGCTCCTAACGACTTCTACCTCTTCAGAAACCTGAAACAACTCCTTCGTGGAAAGTGTTTTTCGTCAAATGTATTTTGCAGAGCTTCCAGAGAGTCACGGAGAGTCATTATAGAGATGGCATAAAAATATTAGAATATCATTGGAAGAAGTGCATTGAAGTTAAGGAAGATTATATTCAATAAAGAAATATATTTGGTACCAAAAGCAGTATTTTTTTTCATTTTGAGCGTAGAAATTTTTCAAACAACCTGTATCTATCATATGTTTGTTATATAGAAATATAGGATAGGCATATGACAATAATATATGTACCGTCAATATGGTACAGCGGCTGAGACGTCTAAACGATCGGGAATCTTATTATGACAAGATTATTTTGTTTAATGTTTCCGACCCGAATTTCTTATTTGGCAGGGAATTGACAGCTAACTAGCTAAAGATTAGATCTAAGTTAATATTCTGATCGCTTACATTGAAACACGTCATAGATTTGCATGCAGTCCCCATACATAAACTTATTTAGGGTCCTACGCTTATTAACCGCACAGATCTTTTGACTTACCATAACGGCAACTTACAAAGGGAAACACAAAACAAAAGTTCTTATTCGCCTATTTCAACTCACATTCTTGCATCAAAATTCATAGAGTTCAGCAGTGAACACAAACGAAGCACTCTGAAATGCGAGCGAAGAAATACACGCCTTATTAAAATTTATCTAAGCATTTGGTAAGTGATTTACCAACATTTTGAAAATAGGGTGATATAGCCCACGAACATAAAATCAGGGTTTTTGTTTACTATTTTATATTATTACTAGCATACCCACGAACATGAAATCAGGATTTGTTTTCTCTATTTTACAATATTAGCAAACCCAGCGAACTTCGCCTAGCCTAAATTACATGCCTTTATATTACATTGACAGTGATAATAAAATACATGTAGATAATTCATATCTGAATATGAATTATTTGAATGAACTCGATTATCAGAAAGCAATATGGTCCTCGACAAGCAAGAACAAACAAGAGAGATCGTTTGTCAACACGCGCACATGGACAATTCTCATATTGTAAAATTATTAAATTGATCCATAATTCAAATTATTAAGAACCAGTTTATACATGTTAATCTAAATTCAAGTGAATCGAATCGTAACTAAGATTATCTAACATGAATTGGTTTCCGAGATTATCTTTAAAAAGTTGAATTCTGTTTCGATCCAGCTGTTATCAATTCCAGAAAAACTATAAATTATTTTTAGCATAAGTGTTTCTCATTAAGGAAGATCGCATATGTACTAAAAATTAACCACAAGTCTCGTTCTGAGAGTTATTTTTTCTCTCACTTTGATCTATTCTTCCTAATTCATTGTAATGACAATTGTCTTAGCGCATTCTATGAAATTGTTCGAATCCCATATATATACGTACCTTCCAACAAAGCCTCTAATGAATTCAACGAATGATGCAATCTATCGGGTTATGGAATGGACCAAGCCAATTAAATGTCTGCTTTGCGTCATTGGAAATCCAACAGAAAACATCGAACGGTTGATTGCGTCTGTTACGCGATGAATACAACGACTTACTGGCAACTGACTCATGGATATCCCCCATCGCTCTCCGACGGGCCGTTGATTGTATCCAGTTGCAAAAAACCGCAAGACGATTAGAACTTTTAAACATTTTAATAGTGGTAAGATAAAAAAAAAATATTGAAAAAATATATTATTGCCTGTTTCTCCGTTTAGTTGAAAATCTAGTTGAGAAACAATTTCTTCCACTAAGTCCGGCGTTAATTTATATAGCTTCCGAAACTCAGTAGCATCCAAATGAAAAGGATCTTCCGTTTCTCGACGCAAACTTCTATTCAATGATGAAGGGTAGGATACCTCTTCATCTTTTGGTAAATCGTATGCCAAATATTCAAAAGCCATTTATTTAATTTTTTTATTTCTATTTTTGTATAACTTAGACAATTTCGCGGACAATACTCTCTTAAATGAAATAACAAAATTTTGCCGATATCGCTAACAACTTAAAAATATTCTTACTTTGGAGGGGATGATATAGATTTAGAAGAATATACGTGTATGTATATTTTTAAAGTCTTAATAAAAATTAAAAACAAGCGTAGCAAGTTCTATGTGAATCAGCCTTTACACTTTTGCTTTATCTCTTCAAAATCTCAGTCCTTCCACTGGAGGGTACTGCCATAATATCTTGAATCTGTATCTGATTACTGTCTAGTAATTTTATTCTGTTGTTGTGTTTTCACTTTTCCCTTCCAATATTTCAAGCCTATTAAAATTTGCTAAAGGGTAGTCGCTAAATAAGTATAAACGACAACTGAATGTAATCACATTGCATACATTGGGATACAATCCAAAGATAACTGAGATAAGACTAAAACATTCTCTAACAGAAACATACAGCAAAGCTGAAGCAGCAACCACAATGTAAGATTTAAGTATAATATGCCAAAAAAAAAGTATCCAGAGGATGCAAAGCACCTCGGAAAATGTTTAACAATAGGTGTAAGCTCTGGAGAGTAGCGGGCGATGAATTGATAAAGGAGTTTTCTCGCTAATTGGCTGAATGCGTAAATTTATTTGACAAAAATTGTAACACATATGCTATCTCCCTAAGGCTTTATCTGCGTTTCATCATCACCGTATATCTTTCATACCTTACTTAATGTTTCAGTTATCCTCAGTGCTTTACACAATTGGGGGCGCTGAAGTTTTACTAGACCGCTTTCTGCTTTTATTACATTTTGACGTGTGCCATATAATAAAATATATAAAATTCTCTTGACTTGACCAATTCTTATGCGGTTTCGTACGATTCATTAAGTCTGAGAATAAAAGTAAACTATTTTTCAACGTTAATATTCGATGGAGGCGGGTTACAACCTACATTTTTAGGTTTAACTTTATTGTTAATAAGCATAGATCCGAATCCTTTTTGGCTTACATCGGGGAAATCATGTGGACACTTACTTAAAGCACATATGTACATATAATATTGTTGCGAAAATAAGAGGCGAGTGTCAGATGAAAAAGAGAAGCCGATAACTAGTACATTCTAGAAACGATAAAACAAGAACCTTCGATAGCGAACAACTCGATGCTTCTACGCTTTTGTCTGCGAGCAGCCGACTGCTACATAAGGGCGACACTCAGCTGCCAAGTTAAGTTAGTTACAAAGTGCACTCGTTGTCGAGAACATCAGTGAAGAGTCGTAAAGTAAACGCGTTGGAGATTACATTTAAGTAAAGTAAATTGTGAAAGTTGATGCTAGCGGTTGTAAATAGTAAAGTGCATTGTAATGGAATTGTGAATTACTGAGAAAATAAAGGACATTAGGTTAATTCTTTATAACGAAAGAAACTGCAAATTAAGTTGGCGAATTTTATTTAACAATCCAGAGATCGTATCCGAAGGATTCCGAAAATCATCGAGGTTGATTTAGCATAATCGTAACAAATGGTGTCAGAAGTGGGATTGTTAAATAAATCCCAAAGGATAATATTTGCAAAATGGTGAAGATTTTAGGATTTGACGATACCTCCTCTCAAGAGGGAGTTGGCAAAGCGAGGATTGTCGACAACTAGAAATAATGCAGAGCTGCAATCGAGGCTGCGAGAAGCAATGTTGAAGGCATCGACTTGAACCAGTACGAGTTCTATCGCGAGGATGAAGATGTATCCTTAAAGGACATTGACAAGGAAGAGACTGATGGTTCTGTGGAGGAGTTGAAATCACCATCAAATAAGATTCAAGAAAAGGTTCCTGGTTCATCTAAGGGTATTGACATGAACATGTTATTGACTGCCATCTCACAAAATATGTCTGAAATGAGAGCCAGCATTTTACAAAAGTTGGATGCACAGGACACAAAAATGAACGCCAGCATCTCAGAAAAAATGTCTGAAATGAAAGCCAGCATCTCACAAAAGATGGATGCACAGAATGCCAACATTACATCACAAATGGTTGAACAAAGGGAGCAGATGTCATCCTTGGAAGGAACAATAGCGCAAATACAGCAAAATCTGATGAGAAACAATGCGGAACTTAAGGAAAGGCAGGCTCTAATTGAGACCAAAGTCAACGCATTGGAAAGTCGTCTCCGGGAATTGCAGCTAAATCGTCCAACCGCTTCAGTGAACGCTCCGAAGGTAAAAACACCATCTTTTGACGGGAAAATCCCATTTCAAGTCTTTAAGCTCCAATTTGAGAAGACAGCTGAAACAAACAACTGGAGCATAG